ATCAGTCCCAGATTGCTGACAAACGTTGCAGATGTGAGCACATCATCCAGGCCCTTGTACTTTGCTCTGTCTCTGGAATCCCTGCTCGTGTCGTTTGCAGCATTTGTGAAGTGATCATGAAGCACTCGGTAGTTTTCCCAGACTGCTCTGACGCTCCTTTCACTTGAAGCCACCCAGCGGATGGACAAAACACGCCCTATCACCAGGAGACGCTGTCCGACTGCTTGCGCACACTGCGCTAACTGCCTCTGATTTTTGGGGGAGGCTTGGAACAAGGAATAGAGTTTGTCAAAAAAGATCTGGAAATGATTGAGCCCTGAGACCTCCTTGACCACATCCCCAATTGCCAGCTCTAGACGATGATTGGAGCAGTGCCACACAAACAGGCTTGGGAATTTACTACACAACTGGGTAGCAACGCCTGTTCTCTTCCCTAGCATGACTGAAGCCCCATCACATGCAAAAGAAACGAAACACTGACCTAAAAAGTCCTCGTTAAAATCTCTTCCAAGACACTCCATTAACGCCTTTGTGATGTCATCAGCCGTTGTTCCATCCAACTCGATCAGCTCCCAAAAAAACGTTTCGGGCTCAGCATCAGCTAATGCTGAGCGTAGACACACAACAAGCACCGTTTTACCACTAATAGTGGTAGATTCATCGACCAAAACACAGAGTTTTCTTTGGTTTTCTGTAATGTCTTTTGCCATTTTTTTCTTCAGCTCATGAGCTATGTGGTCGATGATTTCGCCACAGGTTTTATTGGAGTGCAAAACCCTGCCCACGTTCAGCCCATTCAGTTTCTGTACATTCAAATCAATTGGCATGTCTGTGAATGGCCGGCTATGTTTGCCAATTTTATATGCCGTTCGAAAAACTCTGATAGTGGTGTCTAATTCAGATTTATGCATAGACTGCACTTGATGTTGAATAGTTTCACGTGAAGCAGATGTAAGCATGTCAGCAGCTTTTACATGGGCTTGTGATTCTTTATGTTCTTTGATTTGTTTTCTCAGGCTAGCTTGTTTGTTTACTCACCCCATTCAGTTGACAGTTTCAGTCCTTGTCCAGTGTGTATTTCCAAAGATTTGACATCTCTGCATATCCGACATCCTAGCTTCTTATCTTTAAGAAGGAGCCATGCATTGGTCTTGCAAAAATATTGCACCTGGTCCGTTGTCCAGCAGTCAGGTGCATCGCTTTGCCCGGTGTTGGTGGTGGCAGTTGCGCCAGCAGCAGCTAACGTTAGAGGCTCTGGAGGAGGCGGCGGAGCTAGTGCTAATGCTAATGCACTAGAACTTGGAGCAGGAGGATCAACCAAAGAAAGCTCCCCATCAGACACAATTTCCAACACAGGCACAGCATTCTCTGTATTTGAAGTTTCTTCCGGCGACAACCGCTGTCTTTTTGCACTTTTATTAATCCACGCTAACATTTTAGAAATGCAAATTTGTGACGTGACTTGCTTTCCTTCTCTCGGGGGCGTGCCTGCTCTGTTCTATCACTCTACATAGCCACCCACTGGGTGGGAGTTGCACTGCATAAACACAACACACGTGCATCTAGGTATGTAAATTGTAAAGCATTAAAACATGGTTTTACTAACAGTTTTCAGTATGTTGTTACTTCGGCATTATTATTATTATTATTATTTTGAAACGTGTATTACTATTAAATCACGGTCAAATAAGTTAATTTTGACATAGTCGTTTCCACCACAGTATTTATATGGAGAATATAAGCCCCGCCCCCTCTCCAGCACGTTCTGTTTGAATGACAGGAGTAAACAGCTGACAGCCGCTGTGAAACTCCAGCGGTTAGAGCGATGAGAATGTCCGTTCGGCACCTCATGACGCATCTACTGAGTACCGGGCGGCTGTATATATATATATATGGATGTATAATAAGAACGGCGGGAGAGTGTTGAGTACTGGCACGGTGCATGAGTACCGGAGTACCGCCAGCATGCCGGTACTGAGCAAGAAGTGCCGGTACTCCATGGGTCAGAACCAGAAGTGCCGGTACTGCGTACCGGTGAGTACCGGCCCAATTCCAGCACTGGCAATAATCATGCTGTCTAATCAGCATCTTGATATGCCACACCTGTGAGGTGGGATGGATTATCTCGGCAAAGGAGAAGTGCTCACTATCACAGATTTTTTCAGATTTGTGAACAATATTTGAGAGAAATGGTTATTTTGTGTATATAGAAAATGTTTTAGATCTTTGAGTTCATCTCATGAAAAATGGGAGCAAAAACAAAAGTGTTGCATTTATATTTTTGTTCAGTGTAGTTGCTTGTAAAGGGGGTAACACAAGCAACTTAATGAAGCATTTGCAAACGAGACACTCATTGAATCTAAAACGGTGCAGCGTATTTGACAGCCTAAACAATGTGGCTGCTAGCGATACTGCTAGTGCTAATAGTGCTAGCGGGCTTCAGCCGCGCCGTGTATAAAGGTGACCTGAGTGAAGGCTCGCAGGCAGGTTAGCTGCTGTGCACGGGTAATATGTTTGGTTTACCTGAGTGAAGTCTTGCAGGCACATCGCCTTGTCTTTTTTTAATTTATAACACTGACAGTGTATTAATGTGAGCAGGGGCGCCGTAAGGGGGTGAAAAGTTAGGACGATTCTAAGGGGCTCTGAGAGGGGCCCCAAATATTTTTAGAACATTAAGAAAAAATGTTTAAGTAACCTTTCATCAATCATCAATAATTAACATTGATATAATGTCATATTGATAATGTACTCACTATACTTACGATTCATTGAACTTATTTTCTTCCAAAAGTTAATTAGCCAAAGCATCGAACACCCCCATCTATTTACATGTAATGGTTTGGTCCTGCCTGCAAACGCTGTGCAGCACCGCACTTTCTAGCAGCAGAGAGTGAGAGCATGTGAGGAGGGATGCTAGTACTTACGTGTGTACGATGTCTCAACGACTAACAAAGTCAGGCTTTCAAAAAAGAAAAGAAAGGAGAGAAAGACAAGAGAGAGGGACTAAAGGGCGACAGTATGTCACCCAGTTTTTCAAAAGAAAAGGTGGGTGTGGTCTATGAGTGGTGGAAATTAGTCTGTTAGCTAAGCGTAGTCCATTGTAAATAATAATTGTAATGTTTTGCTGATATTAAGTACTGTTAATATCTTCACAGAAAATTCAGAGGTTTTTCATTTCACTCCTCTTTTAGCTGACATTTAATAAATGCAGGTACATTTTTAGCAGCTATTCATACTAAATCAGTTGTCCCTCCCCCTGGTGCCAGGACCAACAGATCCATCTTTAGGCTCCGCAGCCCTGTCCCCCCATAATGCTTTGCAGTCTTGCCATGCTGTCCATTGAAAGCCAGTTGGCTAGAAAGCTGGACTTCAAGGACTTGATCAGTGACTTTGCCTGTAAGAAGGCTAGACACTGGGCTCTTGGTGAGTAAGGCTGAGCCAGGGCTCGTAATAACTGTTAAAGGGCAAGGCTATGGTAACGATATTAGATCACTACACACAAGATGCATGATGAGAAAAAGACTGAGAACAGTTAATAGGCTCTGATGTAGCGCCACCATCAGGCCTTTTCACTTCCATTTCCGTTTTGTTGTCCGTTTACACTTTAATACCCGCTTATTTTGTAGTTGGTATGTATATTTAATTAAAAAATCTGCTGCTTATGTTATTCTTTTTGTTATAGCATTTTATAAATGATAATATTGGTGTTAATGTTCACTTTATTTTTATTTAAGAGGTCATGTATATTTAAGTTATATTTATTTAGATTCATTCAAAAATGTTATTAAAAAGGCATGTACACCATAAAAGATGACTATTGAAGTCTATTGTCAGGAATGTTATTCTTATATCAAATAGTGAATTCTACTGCAGCAGAATGTTGCACGTCTGCACAGTGTTATATGTTCACCGCTCAGTGTCAGTACATATTGTGCAGTTAGTATTGGACTACAAGATAGATGCAAGCCTGTACAGGTAGAGTTATTTAAAGCATGAATGAGTGGGTTGGGTTCTGGAGGTGTGGTTACAGCATTGTGCTTGGTTGGCGTGGCCTGGACCTGGTGGAGGGGCCCAATGTGATATCTTTTCATGGGGCCCAAAATCCCTGGCGGCGCCCCTGAATGTGAGCTCCTACTGTACACCTATAATAATTTGGCCTTTCATTGAATGCTTTATAAACCAGTTAAACTTACAGATGTCATTGTGAATTGGACAACTGCATTTAAATGTTGTTAAAGGTCAACGTTTCAATGTATGGTTCAGCAATTGTTGGTCGTTTTCTTGGAATTGACATATTTTAAGCTCAAATACTTTGTTCTATGTTTAAACCTTCAGACACATTTTGACGTGTTTCAGTTCAGCACATCATTTATTTTGTGATGATTTAAAAGTACAATCCAGAATAATATACGTAGGCCTACTCGCCTTTATCTTGTTGCCATCTTAGCCTTTTTACCAATTTCTTCATATCACAGCTTTGCATGATGTCACTGTTGGACAATGTTTTAAGGATCTCTTGTCGAGATAGGTTGTCAGTTTCAAATGTCTGGATGAAGATGTAACTGATTTAAAAATGTTAAAAAATGCCTCTTTTCATCCTCTGTCTGAGGGAAAACCCCAACAAGCATGACAGGGCGAGCCAGGCCCCTTTAAGTTATTTTATTTATTTGTGTCTGCTTCTGAGAAGCTAATGTATAAGTTATACAGTTATTCTGCAAGAAAATGACTGTTTAATCTTCACATCTTGTATTCATGTCTATCATTTTGAGCAACAAATTATTGAAAAGTATCGATAAGAGTATCGAAAAATACCGATACCGATAAGCAGTACCGGTATCGATAAAATCTTAACGATACCCATCCCTACCGGGGACACATATTTATGTATAAAAGACATAAAAAAGTGCGTTTTGCATGATAGGAGACCTTTAAAGTAACCAGTAATGTGTAATGCATTACTCTGAGTGTCTACCCAAACACTGGTGAGCAGTGTGTCTGACCTTCAAAAGTTCTGTTCCACATGTGAGAGGTGATCTCCGTTCCATTCTTCTTACTGTATCCATTCTTCATGGCTTCATGCAAGGCGATGGCGTACAGCAGCATGGCATCATGGAACCCCTCCACAAACATGTTGACCTGAAATGGAACAAACAGTCTGATTGAAACGACACTGCATACATTCTTTCTGTTATAAGAAAATAAAAAATGCGGAGGTGGGAGAAGTACTCAGACCGTGTACTAAAGTAAAAGTAGAACTACAAGAGTCAAGTAATACTCTGTTACAGTAAAAGTCATGCATTAAAAATTGTTACTCAAGTAAAATTAGAAAAGTATTCATCATCAAAATATAGTTGAAGTACCACAAGTGCCACAGTAGTCATTGTGCAGATTGGTCCATTTCAGAATAATATATATGATATGTTTTATAATGATTGATCATGAAAGTGTTCTCAAAGCTGGTAAAGGTGCAGCTAGTTTGAATGACTTTGTATACTGCAGGGTAGCTTGTGAATTTACTCCAGGTGGAACTAAAGTCTGATTCAACACTTGGTTATATTTCACATCATTCATCCACATCTGTGAAGTAACTAAAGGGATAAATACATGTAGTGGAGGAAAAGTACACCAGATACCTCTGAATTGTAGTGAAGTAGAATATTAGTAGTATTTTACACCACTGAAAACATGGAGTGGTTTCTAAGCTGAAATTAAATGAGAATGAGAAAACAAACTGTGACCAAGGCAGTTCATCCTGTACCTCCTGACTCTGTATCCGCCATTTTTCTTTTCTTTTGCAGGCTCAGAACAGAGTGATGATAAGGCAGTCAGGATGAAGACAGATTAAATCATATTTGGCAAAAGGTTTTTGAGGTGACAGACTGTAAGTTAGGAGTCTGTGTATGATTAAAGGTCATTCATTCAGAAACTATCATTTATTCATGTACATTTAGGATTTTGTTGATTATTAATATTGTTTTATAAAGTCATAGTTGCAGCCTTATTGATATATATTGAGATAATTTAAGTTTATATACTGTTTACTGTATATATATATATATCTACATATATATACATATATATATATACTATATTAGGTTATCACTTATCAGCATCTGCAAATGCATCATACTTTGGTCACTTCAGAGAGATACCAAAAGAGAAACAGTCATACGTACACTCCCACAGTCTTTGCAGTCATGAAACCCAGATTTTTCCACGGACTTCTTCATTTCCATGGAGAACTTTTCAAACTCAGGCTTGATGGTCCTGAGCAGAGTCACAGTGTTCAGGGAGGCATAGGCCTGCCTCGCATCGCTGTCATATTTATCTCCACGCTTCCACGAGCCATTTCCTAGAATTGAAATAACAGGGACAGAACATTTTCCAGAGAATACTGTTAAATATTAAAGTTTGGTCAAAATCATATTGTGAATACTGATTTAATAAGTCAGGGCATGGCTCTCTGAGCTGAGAGGCTAACTGGACACAGGTTATACAATAATACAAATGAAAATAAACACAATAGCACAGCCGAATCCAAAACATATTACACAACGAAAAATAGCTGCTTTTAAATAATCAAACTGTTTCTATCAGGTTTACTTTCATTAAAATGTTGCTTTGCACAAATGGCATGTTAACTAGCATTGTGTAAAATAGAAGCTTGGAGGGTCCATGGGCATGTAACATGTCTCCTTTCCATTCCTTGTAGAAATACAGAGCATGTAACGCTATGTTGCATGATGAAAAAGCAATATTATCATTGATTTCAAAATTCCTACTTGGTGAATGTCTTATTTATAAATCCACTCTACTTTTAGCTCTGGTTTGGTTTCTAGCAACTCTTGAAGAAATGACTACCTTTTACCCCATATCTGTGACACCCTCACATTGATACTCATGATTCAAATCTAAACCCTTCAAATCTAATGTAAAAAAATTACAAATATTCTGCACAGTAGATAAATAGAGAGCTGATTCACATATTTAGACTTTAGAACGTTTTAAATAAATCAGTTGGATATTTATCATTATATTAGTTTTTAAAAACACATTTAAAGTGATGGGATGTGAACTTTACCATAAGAGGAGGCATTGAAGAGTTCCACATTGAAGAACATGTAGCTGCCGTTGGTGAGCCGGCGCCTGTGAGCAGCCAGCATGACCTCTCTGATCCGGTCCGCCCCCATGCACATGATCACCACTGCAGGAGGAACACACACAGTTATCTAACACACAGTTTGCCTTAAAATACCATCTCAATAAAAATGTTCATTCAATTACATTATCCCAAGCGACTACAATAAGTGCCCTAACACCATGAAGATTCAAACTCCGAACAACAAGGAAAGTGCAGATATATTCACTCCAAGCAATTCATACCATAGGAAGTGCTGGTGAATTAGCTAGAGGCCCTAAATTAACGTTTTAAAGTGCTACATTTTTTTAATAGCCTACATTTTTTGCCCATGTACAATTAAAATAGATGCGTTTTCAGTTTCTGACAGAAGATATGCATTTTTTCTGCTGTCCTGATGTCAATGGGGAGCTCATTCCACCATTTAAGAGCCAGGATAGCAAACAGGCGTGTTTTTGAGGTAGCAAGCCGATTGGCTGACGCAGAGCAACGTTTTCACATTATCATTGAGGGAATATTTTCAGAATTTTCTTCTGTTCATTACTGACGTCTCCGGATATGAATAGTTCTCAGGGTTATTTTAACATGACTTTGGCTGGTTAGGGATTTAATCCCCCTCCACACCGTTTGAAGATCATGTCTATAGTGCACTATGTACATGCATTAATAAGGCTTAATATTTCTAATGTCATCATTGTATCTGGCAGTGCTCTGTAAACCCTAGTTGACCCCCGGAGAGTGTTACAGCTAGGCAGTCAATATGATTTTTATTAAACTGCCAATCCGTGTTCAGCCCATGGTGAGTGAGTGGCAAGCAACAGAAGTGTGTTGTTATCGCTGCTACCTTCCATAAAGGAAGTGATAATAATGGCTCACGCTAGGGAGACTGACTTTAAGGTGGGCCAGCACGTGTGTCACGCTGATCCTCACAGTTTTTTTGTACCATATTTATCTAAGCAAGATGTGGGAGGAGTACTCACTTCAGTAAAAGAAGAAGTACCAGAGTGTAGTAATACGGCTGCAGTTCTTTCATCGCTATTTCGTTTTAATAAATCCTTAGACCTTTTAAGCCAATTTCTGATGTCCATTTTGTAATTCAAACAGAAATGGGAGTCTACAGAATGCACAATAAACAAATCCAGAATAGGCGGCAGAGTGTGACGCTGTGATTGGTCTAACACAGACACACAGACACATGCATTTATTTGACGTAGCCTGCGATTTTTTAGTTACTATCTACATCGTAGCATAAAAGTTCACAGTTTATTTATAATTAAAAATTGTAAAAAATATCTATTTTTTAAATGTTATAAATAATAAAAAACGTGTTTATTGGGGGAGGGCAGGAATGTCAAATGGGAGGGCCCTCCCTGGCCCTCCCACGGCGCCGGGCATGGTTACTGGTGCATCTGCCCTGGTTGCTTCTCCCGTCTTTTTGGTTGGTCAGACAACACCGAAACGCAACGTGTGTCAATATGAATCGATACATCAAAGCGTACAGTTATTTTACTAGACCATTTAGAAAAGGTGGCGAATAATTTATCGTCACATCATTACAGCTTGTTTACAATGATTGAGCTATATTTTTCTTTTAGGTGTTCTACATTCAATTTGGCATTGCTTTATTACCTGTTATCTCTTGCATAGATCACCTACAGTGTTGTACTTAAGAGTATTCAATTATTTTGTGTGACATCTTACATTTTTAGGTGCTGTCTTTTGTATAAAAATAACAAAAGCTTGTTTGTGTCTAAGGTTGCTTTTGAAAACGGCAGATTAATTTATATCTTCTCTTCGCAATTCTTGTGGTAAGATTTATATGTGATATAAATTATGTGATGTCTAACAAGGATTGTTCATTTATTCATTTTAATTACATACAATTGTGTAGAAAGCTACTTCTCATTAGCTTACTAAAATGTATACAGAAAATGCTGGCAAAGGTGGGATATGGAGGAGTCCAGAAATACATTAAAGTTCCACAAATTGATGAAAACTTTGATTTTCTCCGGTTTCTTCAAGAAGGTTTGTATCTATATTATAATTGTAAACGTAAGTCACTAAAAAAGGTCAATTTGGAAGTCTAAATGACATGGTATTGTTATTTATTTTGTATATCTCCCAGTTACAGACAAATGTAGTCTGGAGTCTCAACTTCTAACTGAAGGCCTGCTCAATCTGACTGATACATCAGATACTGAGGTTGATTCAGACATATTTGATGAACTGATTAAATCCGGGGTCCGAAACTTCAAGGTTGGATACCGCCAGTATCCAGTAACAGGTACGGTTGTTAAATAAAGGTTTGGAAGATTTGACTCAGTCTTGGTTTAATATGCATGCATCAACATGTTTGCATGTATACAACTGATACTTTCTCATACTGTACCAATTGATTTTTAGGAAATAGTTTTCTTTCTTTTTTTAATCACATGATAACACCTTAACACTTTTTTTTATTCTTCTTTTATTCTCCTGTGTCAATTTTTATATCTCGAGATAAATTTGGTAGCAGACTCATCAGTGTTGCAGAACCTAACAGCATCACCAGCTTCAATAGGCGCTTTCACACCGCAGTACTTTTCCCACTTTAGTTCCGATATAGTTCCGAAATGTTGCGTTCACACCTTTATATATACAGTCTATGGTTCACACCTTTATATATACAGTCTATGGTTCACACCTTTATATATACAGTCTATGGTTCACACCTTTATATATACAGTCTATGGTTCACACCTTTATATATACAGTCTATGGTTCACACCTTTATATATACAGTCTATGGTTCACACCTTTATATATACAGTCTATGGTTCACACCTTTATATATACAGTCTATGGTTCACACCAAAAAGAGACGGAACTAAAATTAGTTCATGAGAACCTTTTCACCCCCTTTTCCGTCCCTGCTAGAGAGCAGGGACTTTCGTGGGAGAAAAAGGTTCCTATTTCTGATTGGCTGGGCGGATTGCAAACCACGCCCCGTAAAAGTTTTGTGAAGCCGCCATTTTATTTTCCTCGCATTAGCATTATTAGCATTAGCATTAGCCCAGCGCAGAAACGCAGAGAGACTAACTTATGGCAACACAAAATAAAACATGGGAGCGGAGGAGATGAGGAGGTGTCGGCGTTTCTGGCGATTTACTCGGAAGGCTTCAGTAGAAGCTGCTGGGAGTCCCAGCAGCTTCTACTGAAGCCAGTCCCCAACTCCGGGGACTTCCGGCCGGGGACTTTGGGCGGCAGTATACGCCGTGAAGTTGTTTGCGGCCTGCCAGTAAACCCAAAGCAGAAGAAGAAGTGACGTCAGCGGCTTCATTTGCCTAACGGCCCGTCTACACTACAGGCATAAACAAATCTTGAAGCTGGGCGTGTCTGAAGCTTGGCGATTTTTTGCGAGCAACGCCACCAACAACCAATCACATGAATCTCCCGCAATAGCAATAGCAATGTTAAAACGAAGTAAACTGGATATAAACTCCCCAAACAGGCGAAAACCTACCAGTTTCACCCACTGTCTCTGCCACCTCCCTCCATGCCTGGTTCCTCCGGTTTGTATCCCGGTAAATAGTTCTGGTTGGAAAGAACCGGGTGATTTGCTACCGTAATTTCTCGTTTGGAATATGAGGAAATGAACTGCGGTCTGGCTATCCCAGCTTGCACGCGGTTTGATTGGCTAGCGCTTGTACTGGCGGGAATTGCAAAAACGGGATTTGATTGGCTGACGCCAGCTTCGAGCAAGCATCGAGCCTCAAAAGTTGAACATTGTTCAACTTTTGACGCCGATAGATGCTCGTGATGCTTGCAACGCCTTGCCATGCTACCCACAATGCAGTTCGGCGAAGTTTGAAAATATCCTACGTCACCCCATTCAAATGAATGGGCGAAGCGTTGAAAGCATTTTTTGACGCCTGTAGTGTAGACGGGCCGTAATCCTCCCTCAGGGACTTTCCGGTGTGAACGCGATCTGTACTTAGTTCATGAGAACTAAAGGGTTCTCATGAACTAAGTTCTGATTAACCTTTGTGGTAAAAGTACTGCGGTGTGAAAGCGCCTAATGCTCGATCTTACAGCATCACCAGCTTCATTGCCGAACCTACACCATCACCATCTTCCTCCATTTCATCAGATTCAACTGTTATCCTCTCATCGAATGAAATGAGAGAGCATACATTGTTCCATATTGCTGTGTATTTTTTGGTGCGAATGTTTGAAAATAAATCTTGTTTCAAACAACTTTAGCCTACTTTATTTTTTAGTAATTTTTATACTTTATTAGAGCTTTATTTACACCTAATAGTGTTAATATATGAGTAACACTTTCATAGTTAATAAACTATTCTGTGAGAGAGTTAATATTTAACACCATGCAAGTGTTGAGAAAAACTAACTGGTTAGTGTTAGCCTACGAAGAGTTACATTTTAACTCCAAATAGAGTTAATAATTACTCTGAATAGTGTTAAGAAACCAACTCTTTAAAAATAGTGAAATTAACTCGATGTGGTGTGGACCCATAATAGACACTGTCAAAGTGTTGAAATCAAATCTGACAGTGTTCATTTGCAGATGCTTATTTTCCTGTGTATAGATGCAGTGCTTCTCAAAGTGTGGTGGACCACTGGTGGTCCGTGAGCGCCCCCCTTGGTAATATTTCACATTTGAAATAAATAAATACATTTCAGTTTTCCGCACTCTCGCGGGAATATCTCCGCAATGGAGTGAGGTTAAGTTTCACTTTCAATTGCATGATATAGCCCAGCGCAACACCTTCATCACACATGTTGCCACTTGTTTGTAGGCTACCATTTTCAAGCGATTTGTAATCTGTTCAAGAAAAACGATGTGTTTTTTGATATTTGTGGAGTTAGGTGGTCCGCGAGTGTTTTTTTATTGGTTAAGTGGTCCTTGGTATGAAAAAGTTTGAGAAACACTGAATGGTATAGATGCAATCCCCTAAAGATGGCCACGCTGACCCACATTGCAATTCACATTTTCTATATGCAGCGTTTTTCCCAAAATGATGCTGTGTCATATTTCCTGAATGTGCTATGTTTTGTCTATGCAC